TGAAATTTGAAGGAAAATGGATGGAACTAGAAGAAACCATTCTGAGCAACGTAACTATACATGGTCCCCTGGAGAAGGGGAAAGGGTCAAGATATGCTGAGCAAAGTGGGAGCACGGGAAGAGGGGGAAGGGAGCTAGGAGAATGAGAAGGGGAAAAGAGGAGGGATGCAGAGGACATGAGGGAGCAGAAAGGTTGAGTAAGAGGATGAATAGAAGATAACAAGAATGGAGATATCATAATAGAGGGAGACATTTTTGGTTTACAGAGAAATCAGGCACTAGGGAAATGTCTGGAGATCTACAAAGATGACACCAGCTAATAATCTAAGCAACAGAGGAGAGGCTACCTTAAATGCCCTCTCCTGATAATGAGATTGATGACTGACTTATACGCCATCCTATAGCCTTCATCCAGCAGCTGGTGGAAGTAGAAGCAGACACCCACAACTAATCATCAAACTGAACGGAAACCCAGATTCAGAGAAGGACGAGTGAAAAGCAGAGGGGTCCAGACCAGGCTGGTGAAAACCACAGTAACAGTTGAACTGAACATCGGGGAACTCTTGGGACTGATCCAGACCCCAGGAACATGGGTTTCTGTGAGGAAACCTCGGAAATCTACGGGACCTCCAGTACTTATCCCTAGCATAGGTGTGGACTTTGGGAGCCCATTCCACATAGAGGAATACTCCCTGAGCCAACACATGTGGGAGTGGGCCTAGGCCCTATCCCAAAGAATACAATAGACCCTGATGACACTCTATGGAAGGCCTCATCATCCAGGGGGAGCAGAAAGGACATGTGATAGGTAGGGTTTTAGTTGGGGGTGGTGGTGGTAGGGGAGGATGGATGGGAGAGGGAACTGGGATTGTCATGTAAATAAATCCTGTTTCTAATTCAAATAAAAAAAGTTGAAAAAAAAAGAAATATATCTAGCCTGGTGGTACTGGCACATACGATGAATCCCAGGCCTTGGGAGGCAGAAGCAGGTGGATCTCTGAGTTCAATACCAGCCTGGTATGCAGAGTGAGTTCCAGGATAGCCAGGGCTACACAGAGAAACCCTGTCTTAAAAAACAAGAACAAAAACAAAACAAATAACTAAGATTGACTTTAAAAATATAAAACAAAAGTGTGTTTAAAGTTTAAAACATATCTGATGGAAAAAATCATCCTTAGTACACAAGCACCCATTAAAAATTGAGGTAAAAAATTAAATGAGAAAATCAGATGATCATACTCCCAGACAGACTATATCTATATGTCTATACATATTTAAACTATTATTTTACCAAAGATGCTTCAAAATAGTAACAATGTGGCCAGAGCTACCATCAGGAGATTCTGAGAGGAAAATTTTGACAAGATATTTTTATTTTATTTATGGTTTCTAGAAATTAATTGACTTTGGATTTTTGAGAAAGGTTTCTAACCAAGGATGGCCTTGAACTCATGACAAGCCTCCTGCCTTGACCTCAGCTCCTGAGATTACAGGCAAAAGACATCATGCCCATCTTGTCTATGCTTTTGATATTTAATTTAATAATTCCAATTATGGGTCCCCCAAAAAAATCTAAATATGAGGAAAAGTAAAAATGTTTCATGTAATATTACACATGCAGCCTTTTGGTTGAGGAGGTGTTTGTTTTGGTTTTTGAGACAGGGTCTCACTGTAACCTTGGCTGGCCAGGATGTTCTCAAACTAAGAGATCCCACTGACCTCGGCCTCTGCTGCCC